CGCCGGGAGAGGTCCGGGGAGTAGCGGCATCGGTGCCTTCTCGTTTCCCCAAGGATGGGGTACGGTTCTCAAGAGCGCCCTCGAGGGCGCGAAGCGATTCGCGCTTCGCGGTTCGGCTCCGATTCCTCTTCATCCTCCTCTCTCTCCTCCCCTGGGAAGCGGCGCGAGAGCGCGAAGTTGTCCGCGCTTCGCAGAGCGCGAAGCGCGAAGTTGGGAGCCCTCGGTCCTCCTCGGCGCCCGCGGCGGCAAGCCCGTCGGCTGGGACACGGCACCGCTTTGGGTTCGGGGCCTCGGCGGCTCGGGCCAGAGGGCTGCTCGGGCCCAAGCGGTGTTTTACGGAGGGGAGAGGCGAGGGAGGGAGAGCGAGGAGGCCGACGAGGCCATGAGATCAGGAGGAGGAGGAGGAGGAGGAGGAGGAGGGAGGGAAAAAGCGCGGGAGGGAAGAAGCGATGAGAAAAGGGGGGGAGAGAAGCTGAGGATGGGGTCAGGAGGAGGAGGGAGCACGGCGAGGACCGGGGAGGAAGGGGTGATAGGGGGAAGCGATGGAAGAGGAAGAGGGAGGGTAAGCAGCCTTATCTGCATCTCCGACTGGTCCTCTCCACGCGTCCCCCTTTTTCATCCAAGATAAGAGAGAGGGAACACGAGAGAGAGAGAGAACAAACTAATGATAACAAAGAGCGAGAGAGAGAGGGAGAGAGAGCGGGTGAGGAGACAGAGGAGAATGAGAGAGAGAGATATATACATAAGCACACAAGAAACACAACAGGTTGTGGGCACGTGCCAGCAGCGACGACCCACAGCCCTCAACTCAGTCGCTGCCACGGGGCTGCCCCTGACTGCGCCGCGAGGGGCGGGCGGTGCAAATGCCCAGGCGGTCCACGGCGGGGCCCTCCGCGCCGATCCGCTCCCGCCTCGGGCTGCCCAAAGAGCACGTGCGCAGCGCGGGCAGTGCCCAGCGCGGCCCGCAGGGCCTCGGATCGAGCAGCAGCCTCGACACGGGGCAGCGTGCGCGCCGTGGCTGCGAGGGCCGTGGGCACGAGCCCATGGCGAGGGTGTCGGCGCACCTCGTTCTCCTCCCGGCGCCCTCCCGGCGCACTTTTTGGCGCGTCGCTCGTGCGCTCGCACGCGCATTTGGCGTGTCGGTGCGCTCTCGCGCGCAGTTGGCGCCTTCCTCGTGCGCATGCCTGGTTGCACTGGTCTGCCCAAGCGCGTTTGGCGTATGGCTGCTTCGTTCGAATGTGGAACGGTTTGGAATGTTGGGGCCGCTGTTTCGGGGGAGTTCGAGTGCTTCGGCGGCTAGGTCTATAGGGCTCTGGAGGGGCCCCGCAAGCCGCTCCCCCCCCCACCCGTTTTGCCCCTCCGAGCCCCGCCGACGCCGAACCTGCGCGCGCGCCTTCTCCCGCACGGCGCTGCTCCTCGCTGGTCTTCGGTGCTCAGCAAGGCTGAGAAGGCGGCCTGGTCCTCGGTGTAGCCGTGCTACATTAGACTCGCTTCGCGACTGGTCTCCTCTCATCTCATCTCATCTCATCTCCTCCTCCTCCTCCTCCTCCTCCTCCTCGTCGGAGTGGGCGGGGTCCCCGTACCCACAACCAGGCTTCGGCCCCGAGGGTTGGTCGGTGCGGCGTCGCGCGAGAGCAGCCCAGGGAGGCGGGCCTCGAAGGCCCACCGCCGGAGGCAGACCTTTCCCCGCCTCCCCCCACCTGTGTGTTTGATTTTGACGTTGCCCGGGCATGGATCGGCGATCGGCACGTTGGCAACCTGTGGCTATCCTTCCCCCTCCTGCTGCAGAAGACATTGTCCTTTCACGGTCAGCCGAAGACATTGTCAAGGGCGCCCTCGAGGGCGCGAAGTTATTCGCGCTTCGCGGTTCGGCTCCGATTTCTCCTCATCCTCCTCTTCTCCCCTGGGAGGCGGCGCGAGAGCGCGAAGTTAGTCGCACTTCGCGCTTCGCGCAGCGCGAAGCGCGAAGCTGGGTGCCCGTGCCCCCCCCCTCTGCTCTCCCTTCACCCTCACGCCCACCCCCTCGCCCGAGAGCGCCTGCAGAGCTCGCGCGCAGCTCCCAGGCAGCCCCTGCAGTCGGATCGGGGTACAAGATCGAGGTCGTTTCGGGGAGGATGCCCTAGTGTTGTTTGTTTCTGGTGGATGTGCCTGTGCATCCTGGGAAGGGTTCCCTTGGACGTTCTGCTTGTTTTGGCCAGTGGAGGATCTCATGTTCTTGTTCGTCTGGCCTGAGCCCGGCTCTCTAGGCAGCGCTCCAAGGGCTCGTGGGCAGTGCCCGGGCATCTCCCAGGCAGCGCTCCCGAGGCTTGCGGGGAACCCTCGCCGCCCCCCCCAGAGGCCGCCTCACCCTCGAGATCTGACGTATCGAAAAAAAGTTGTAACACCGTAGAGACACGCTCGGACCCCCAGACCCCATCTTCCCGCGCCATATTTCGAGCCGGGTCGATCTGGGAGGGCCCCGGGGCCCAGAAAAATGACGGAAACGCCCGCCTCGAACAAATGGGGACGCCAGGGCATCTCGGGGAACTCTCGCCACCCTCGCCCGACGAGAGGCCGGCTCGGCTCGACCAGGCCCGCCTCGGGCACCGGCCGCCCCCGCGCGGCGCGGGCGGCCGCCCCCGCGGGGAGCGCGGCGGCCGCCCCCGCGGGAGCGCGGCGGCGGCCCGCGGGGCGCGGGCCGCAGCGCTCCGCGGCGCGGCGGCGGCGCGCCGCAATGGCCCCGCCGCCCGCGCCGCGGCGGGCCGCCCGGGGGCGCCCCGCGCTGCGGGCGGGCGCCGACGCGGCGGGGGGCGGCGGCGCCGCGGCGCCGGCGGCGCCGGCGGGCCCGCGGCAGCGGCGGCAGGCCCCGGCCTCGGTGGGCCTCCGTGGGGCACGCTCGGGCCCAGCCGGAGCCCCCCGCGCTGTGCAGAAGTGGCGACGGGAGGTGTTTCGCTCCATGTTCAATGTTCGGCCTTCGGGGGCCCTCACCAGGCCCCGAGACCGTCAAACAAAAAAAGACATTTGTCCTGGGGAAGGGGTGTCCAGACCTCTGGGGGTCGACGCTGCGAAAAAAGCACGACGTCGAGGGAATCGGGCATGTCCCTCTACAGGAGGAACATTCAAGAATTGCTGAAACAAAGAGTAGGGGGACGATGTGTCGACGAATTACATTTGGGTTATTGTTGGGCATCTCTTGGCTATTTTGGGTTTTTCCTCGAAAATCCGCGTGTAGGAGGACAGGCCCGACCTAACCCCAGCCTCGGTCGGCTTGCGGGGGGCACTCTCGGGGGTCCTTCCCCCTCGCTTAGCAATTCTTGCTCGGCACTCTGGCGCCACCGCCGGGCTCTCGCAGCGCCGTCCTTCGCTACGGCTGACCGGCGCCTCGCCTCGCATCGCTTCCTGGGGCCCTGGTTGGGCGTCCGGGGCCCTTTAGGGCCGTCTTGGGGCCCTCTTGGGGCCGTCTTGGGCTTCAAGGACCCTCCCGCGAGGGGAGGGCCCCTTCGTGTGGTGGAACGGACACGACGAATGGTCGTTTTGCAATGTTCAGCCCCTTGGATGAATGAAGCGCCGGACCCTGACCTCTGGGGGGCCATATTTCGGACGGGACTAGGACGAGGATAACTCCGTCCCAGAGCGTTCCAGAATGCCCTCAGAGCGTTCCGGAGCAGTTCCGAGAAGGCCGCGGCGCCCGAGACATCTGCCAGAGCCGCCAGATCTCAGAGATTCTCGATTTCTTCTGACCCGATGTTGTCCTCGCCCTGGCCTCTGCTGAACACCGCGGCTAGTCATGAAGGCGGGGGGCTGGGGACCCGGATGTCCCGAGGAGCCTCCTCGGGGCGCCCCCGAGGACGCCGCTGGGGTCCCGAGGAGAGCCGCCGGGGGCTGGGCGAGGGGGCCAGTCCGGGGCTCAAGAGACGGGGGTCAAAGTCGCAGTGATCAACATCGCCTCTTGCGCCATCTCGTGGCGTTCTGTGGCCGCGGTTGGGCGTTCTCGGGGCCGTCTGGGGGGGCCTCTCGGGCCTCTCCTTGGCCATCCTTGGGGCCATCTGGAGGCCTCAGAAGCGCATTGGAAGCGAAAAGGCGAGAAGGCACACTTCCTTCGTTTCCTTCAGGTTGTTGCAGGATGCTGGCCTCTTGGGGGGGCTCCCAGAGCACTCGGAACCGTTTTGTGGCCCTCGTCGGGCCTCTCGGAGGTATGTCGGAAGCTATCTTGACTCATCTTCGGCCATCTGGAGCCGCCGTGAAGGCCATCTTGGAGCATCGGACGCCCTCTTGAAGCCACCGTGGGCCATCTTGGGCGCCCTGACACCTCGCGAAACCCCGAGCAAAAACCTCGGGAGGGGGAGGGGGATGGTACCACTCCTCGAAAGGAAGAGTGAATTTTGGAAGAGGAACTCATGATATCGCTAGACCACCTTAGCGAAAGGGCTGGTGGCATATAGGTGTTCCGTGCTACGATGGCCAGATGTTGGCGTAGGCTTGTGGAAGTTAGTGAAGACGTTCTTGCATACAGCGGTGGCAGTGGCAGCGCCACTACGGTACAGGCCTTGTCCATGCCCAGGCGACTGGCAACCGGAAGCACACCAAAGTATGTTAACGTTTGCTGGTGTACGGTCGGGAACGTTTGCTTAGCGCGTCGCGCCGCCGGTTCCGGCCCACGGCGCTGCGGCGCGACGCGCTAGCGGGTCCCCAGCTCCCGGGCGTCGGCGCCCCGATCCCTTCCCAACCCTCCCGCCCCGCGAAGCGGAGCGACGCGCTGCCCTCGCCCTCCAGCTTCCGCACCTTCCGCAGCTGCGGCCTCGGCGGAAGCCGCAATGGCGGCCGCGGCGGCGGCCGCCGCGGCGCGGCACCTGCCGCGCGGAAGGTGCAGAAGGTGGAGGGCGAGGGTGTGCGCTCGCAGGGCATGGCGTGTCGCTGGGGCGGCCGCCGCGGCACGCAGGGCAAACGAGTTCCCGACCGCGTCTGCTCTGCGAGTCGAGCGCTTCGGCCTGCCGTCGGCCCAGTCGGGGCGACCGCTCCGACAGGCCCCGCCGCGCACCCGTGGGAGCGGCTGGCCGCGCGCCGCGGCGCTCCTGAGCACCCTGGCCTGGGGGCTGGTGCCGAGGACCAGGCGCAGAGATCCGTGGGGTCAGCCCCCGACTTCGGGGAAGGAGGAGGAGGAGGAGGAGGAGGAGGAGGAGGAGGAGGAGGAGGAAGAGAAGGTGCAGTTGAGGTTGATGTATTAGTAGGTCGGCTCTGCCAAATCAGGGGAACCCTCGTGTCCTGCTTTCTGCGGCCCATGCAATTTGGCTCTCGCAAACAAGTGTCTTGTGCTCTCTCGCGTGTCCTTTCCAATCAACCTCGACTGTACCGATGCCGCCTACCCTTCCCTCGTGTCATGGGGCCTCCTTGGAGGCCCTCGTCGCCGCGGCGGGATTCGCCTCGAACTCCTTGTCAGAATGCGCATCGGGAGAGGCCCATGGAGTGGCGGTATCGGCAGTTCGGTATTTTGGTGCCCCCCATAAGAGCGGAGTCATTCCGATGTTGTTTCGATCGCTAGGCCCCGACGGCCACCCTGAAGAGCGACCTTCGAGCAGGACATCGACTGCACGATTGATGTACCCCCGAATCAAAGTTGTCGTCGAATCTGCGGAACATGCATAGATCTCTCGTATCCACAAAGAGTCAACGTATTTGTGTGTAGCCTCGGCGGGAACATATTTTGGGGGTAGATCAATTCTGTAGTCGATCTCCCACTCGAGATCTGGCCGAATCCTTATCCCTCCCAGTCAGGGCTCTGCAAACGGCGCGCACCTGAGAGAGCTGGTGCCGTGGGTCGAAACATCCTCCACTCTTCGCTCCCCCGAGCTGGAGTCCTCAAAGTCCTGGCTGCAACTGGGCCGAGCTATACTGAGTGAGATCGATGTCGATTCGGGGAGGGTGCCCTGGTGCTCTTCGTGTTTTTTGGACGTTCTTGTGCATCCCGGGGAGGGTGCCCTTGGATGTCCTGCTTGTTTTGGCGGGTCTCATGTTCTTGACGGGTGCTGGCCGAAACCCGGTTGTGTAGCGATGCCTTGGCTCGGGGGGCACCGACCGAGGCGAACGGCACCACGCCATGGCACGCGTACAGTCACGACGGTGAGATGTGGACCGCTTTGGGCTCAGGTGGGCTCGGGTTGCCCGGCCGTTCCCTAGAGTTCTCAGGGGCGGAAAAGAGGGGGGTGATGACTAGGGGGGGGTGGATCTCATGGCGGGGGCCATGATATTTCCCCAGATTTCATGGCGCCTCTTCTTACTTCATTACGTCACTGGCCCCCCCGCTGGGCCGCGCACATGCCGCCGGTCATGATTTGCACCCGTGTGTGTGTGTGTGTGCGTGTGTGTGTGTGTTTATGTGTTTGTTCCCCACAGTGTGTTTTTTTCCCCACAGACGTGTGTGTGTGTGTGTGTGTGTGCGTGTGTGTGTGTGTGTTTTCCAACAGAGTGTGTGTGTGTGTGTCTGTGGTCTGTGTGTGTCTGTGGTCTGTGTGTGTCTGTGGTCTGTGTGTGTGTGTGCGTGCGTGCGTGCGTGCGTGCGTGCGTGCGTGCGTGCGTGCGTGCGTGCGTGCGTGCGTGCGTGCGTGCGTGCGTGTGTGTGTGCGTGCGTGCGTGCGTGTGTGTATGTGTGTGTGTGTGTGTGGTGTGTGTGTGTGTGTGTTTTTCCCTCTTGGGCACCCCCCTCTTGGCCGCTCCCGCAGTTCGGCCGCGGCGCCGGCTTGTGGCCCGGGCTCGGCGTGGCCAGGCGAGGCCCCGTTCGGTCCTGCTGTTGTTCAGGAGGGAAAGAAACACACAGACACAATTAATCGGCGATTCCTCTCCTCCGGAGCGCTGGGGCCTTCTCCCAGCGAGTCCTGCGTTGTTGTGGAACCTCGTGAGAGCTTTTCACCTCTTTAACAAGGTGTCTCACGGGTCCCCGTATACAGTGTTAGCCAAAGATGCCCTCCTGCAGGCAATCCAGGATGTAGATTTCACACTCTAGCCGTAGGCGTTCGGTGACGGCGCCCCTCCAGAACACGAGTAACAATTAATCGGCGATTCCCCAGAAAATATGTGAAAATATCGGAAGTGGGGGGGAAGACGAAAACCTAGAAGATATAGGAAAATATTGGGAATCTGTTTATTTGTGCGTATTTATTTGTGTATCCCAGGGCCCCTTCAATTGTGCGTTCCTGCTGGCAGCACGCTGGCTGTAGCTGATCGTTTTTCTATTCATTGTTTTGCCGATCGGCGCGGGCCCCCGCACCCCTCCCCCCACCCAATGGAGTGAATCTTGGCTGTTTATGGCGCCTGTTTCGAGCAGGCGGAGCCCCTCCCCCACAGGACGCACTGTCGCAAACCGTCGCACCAAGCAGAGGTCCGGAGCCGGACACCCCCCCTTTCCGCCCAATGTCGGGACGCCGGATAAAAAGACGCTCACTGGGTCGCCAGCCGCGGGCTGCCTGCTCCGTCTCGTTCGTCGGGTTCCGCGGCCCCGAGCTGGCCAGCATGCGCGTCACCGTGGCGCCCCCCGCTCCGCGGGCGGAGCGGAGCTCGGCATCTGGCGGAGCATTGTCCCCGGGCGCCCTGCCCCGGGTAATGCCGTAGACGCTCTAACGGTATGGTAGCGACCGGCGATGTAGGAAAACCAAGTGTAGGAAGGCGTGGTCCGTGGCCAAACCAATTGTAGGATCGCGTGGCTCGTGTTTTCCAACTCGCTGTGTCGTTTTCGTCTGATACGTTCGAATCTCTGAAGTGTAGGAACACGTGTTTCGTGATTTCCTACAGTTGTTTCTGCGCTAGGGGCCACCAATTTTCAGACTCCCAACCGCACCCTTAACCAAGCACGCCGTTGGCGCGACCTTGGTAATGTTCGCATGCGGCACGTTCGCTTCTGCTTTCAGGTCGCGGTTCACTGCAGGAGTTTGCCTGTGGCAGGTCGGCTCGCTCGTGTGAGGTGCCTGGTCGGCCTGGAGACGTTTCGATTCGCACAACGGGTAGCGGAGCTGGCCTACCCAGCGCGGGTTTGCGAGGAACATGTTTCCCCTGGCGCCTTCGAGGCGTCTAGATCCGTGAGGGATCCGCCCCCCAAAAACGCCGCTCGCTGTAACATCTCGTGGACGTGTGCATGTTTTCCTCGGCGAGGACCATCGAGGAGCATCTGGGATCGTCTTGCCAAAAGCTGAGCGCACGAAGCCGACAAAAATGCATGGGGAATGGACGTCCGAGCGGTTGCATCGGCTACACGTAAGGATGACCCTTCGACGGAGTGACCTTTGGTGCGGGCCCAGTGGGGCCCCTCGATTGCCGAGCACGATGCGATGGTAGCGTCTTGCGCGTTTGTGCTGTGTTCCAGTTAGGTCCCCCCGCGGCCCCCGGAAAACCGCGCAGTGGCGGGCTGTTTCTCAATTCCAAGATTTTCTGAGGCTCGGGGACGACGTCGGGACGGTGTGGTGTATAATGTTGTTCCGTTTCCCAGGAACCAGCGAAAGATGAGTACACCAGGATCCCGTACACACTTGGATCGGCTTTCCTGTGCGAATTTCAGTGAGGGATCAGAAGAAGCGTCGGTGTACAGAGTTCGGCCCCCTACAAAGGTCACTCTTACGTTCAGTCGATGGCATGTGTCCGCGGAGGTTTTTCCGCGGAGGTCTTGGGAGCCCCGTCGCAACGGTGTGAGACGTATATACCCATCAACAAGGAACAGTAAGCAGCAAGAAGCAGAACTGCGAACCTTCGGCCTGCAGCCTCGTGGCCCCACAGCGGGGCCGGCGGATCGGGGCCGCAGCTTTGAGGGCTGGGACCCCTCTTGGGCGCCGCGGCCCCGTGGATGCGAGGCGTGCTGTTCGCAGATGCCGCGGCGGCAGAGCGTACAGTCCACGCGCCCAGTAAGCACGCGCGCACCAGGGCACCCGTGTGCCCGTGCCTCTGCGGCCCGCCATTTGCCGTCTTCACTGGTCGCCCGCCGTCCAACACACCCGTCCTCAATTCCCCAATCAGTGCTTGCACTGAAGGGGTCCTCGCGGAAGCTGAAAGATTTGACGAAAGTTTCCCGCCGATTTTGGTAGCAGGCTGGGTTCACACGTTCCCAGTTCCAGGTTCCCGGGTTCCCGGGTTCCTGGTTATTGGTTCCGGGCCGATTTTGGTGGGTTCTGGATTCCCGGGCCCCCGGGTTCCCAGTCGATCTCCTCGGCGAAAACCATCCATTGATTGTTTTTTTTTTCTGTGGTGTACTGCTAATGCTTACACGTCCTCTGACTAGTCTCCAGATTCCCTAATAGCAGGGAGAGGGCCACAAGCCTCCCAGACGAGCAGTTTTAGAACCCAGGACGGCCATGCATGGGCGGCCTGCTGCCCAGGCCCCACCTCGGAACCCTCCAAGAGAGCTCAAGCCAGACCCCCCAAAGTGTACCCCCCCAGAGGGTACCCCCCCAAGTGTACCCCCCTCCTCCTCCTCCTCCTCCTCCTCCTCCTCCTCCTCCTCCTCCTCCTCCTCCTCCTCCTCCTCCTCCTATCCATATGATTGGCGTCGCGTGATGTCGATGCCGATCTTGAGGAGTCCCTCAGTTTCCGAGGGCGCACCGCTAAGGTGTCGAGCGGCGGCGACTCCGCCGCCGGCGTTCAACGCTGAACGCCGCCAGCGGCCCAGAATCGGTCGACGTTGAACGTTCTGATGTTTCCCACGCGGCCGATCGTTCAAGGTGGAGCGACCCCCCCGCGGTGTCAGAAAACAACGCCGAAGTCGGCACGACACGAACGTGCCGTAGTCCACGCCCGACTCGAAAAGCCCTGATCCGTCGACGTCCGATCAGGGCGATCCGTCGATCTATCTATCTGGATGTCGTCCTCGCCCTCGTTCTCGACCCCATCGTCCTCCTCGTCCTCCTCGTCGTGGTCTTCGTCGTTGTCTTCGTTACCGTCGTCTTTGTCGTCGTCGTCGTGGTCGTGGTCGTCGTCGTCGAACCTGCCGCATCCAGCCGTGAGCCTCGGCCCCGGCAGGAGGCCGCCGGGGTGCCACCTGTGGTCTACGGTCGACCTTCGCAGCATCGGCGTCGTCCGCACGCCCTACCGGCAGAGGGCCGACTGCCCCCGCCAGGGCGCTCTGCGGCCAGACGTGCGCGGCACCCCGAGGAGGAAAATATACCAATACCGATACCGTTGCCTCGAAGAAGGAAACGGCATAAACATAAATTCGTGGCTTTCCGCGCGGATTTCATGGATCCGCGGTGGGCCCCCCCTGGCGGCGCCTCCGACGCCGCCCCTGGCGCGCTCCACGCGCCAAGGAGGGGCGCCCAGCGCGGATCCAAGAAGTCCGCGCGGAACGCCAAACGTTTATGCTATGGCCGTTGTTCTTTTTTTAGATGCCGATGCCAGAGGCCTACCGCAAGAACATCCTTGGAGATCTTGGCGCTGCAATGTTGTTCTCACCATGCGTTTCCGCCAGGTTGGGGCCCCAGGACCATCGCAGATCGATCCGTCTCGAAACATGCCACAGAAGTACAGTCAACCCGCACAGTAAGGATGGGCAACCTTCCCAAGGGTACCCTTGCATCCTTGCCTTCTCGGCCCATCCTTGGCCGCTTTCGTTGGCCGCGCCCCGCTCGGAAAGCTTCGAAATGGGCGTCCAAGGCCCTTGCATCCTTATCGTGTATCCTTACTATACGGGTTGACTGTATGGGGTGTTGCAGGGTTCTTCTCGTGACGTGTGACGATCTCTCTTCGGAGTCTGACCGCGGGGTCGGAGGTGGCGCAGGAGAGTCGGTGCCGCCGGCCTCCCCTCGTCGCCACGGCCGGACTCGCACCGAAGTCCTGGTCCTGGTCGGAGCGCGCCTCGGGAGAGAGGTGCGGGGGAGCAGCGGCATGGGCATCTCTTGCTTGCAGTCGGGGCGCTGGAGAAGGAACTCTTTTTGCTGGGGAGGGGCTTCGTGTTCCTTGGCTGTTTCACCGCTTGCCTCACGTGTTCCTCCGGCTTTCGAGATGGAATCGACGGTCAATTTCTGGACAAACAGGGGCCTCGTTCCTTATTCAGGGTTCCTTACAGTCAACGCGCCTAGTAAGGACGCGCGCCTTCATCTAGGATACCCTTGCGTCCTTGCCTCTGTGGTCGCCGCCGCCCAAAAAAAAAACCCAACTTCAGCCTCCAAGGGCCTCGCGTCCTTACCACGCGTCCTTCTTATACGTTTTGACTCTAGGTCCGCGCCCCGACTGTACCCCAGGCGCGATCTACCTGCACCCGTGGCTGACCGGGGCCGGAAGGCCGGCGGCTAGGCTCCCCGCGGTTGTGGGGGCGCACGGGGCGGTGTCGCAAGGCCTGAGGCAGAGGAGGCCTGCCAGGAGGCACGAACAACACGCACCCATATCCATAGGTGGGACGGAGGGGGCTATGGGTGCGTGTTGTCGGATGGGGGTCCCCGCTCGAAAGGAAACGCCCCCGAGGGTCCGACAACCCGCACCCATACCCATAGCCAGTCCTCTTCCCAACGTTCCCCCTATGGGTATGGGTGTGTGTGTGTGTGTGTTGTTCGTTCGTCATGCCAGGATGCTGGGGAGCTCTCGGGCCTTCCGAAGGGCCTCTGGGCCTTCCCCTATGTCGGGCGTGTCCCCCTGCAGGGGGATTCTCGACGAAAGATACAACAAAAAGGTCAGAAACATGTTCAACAAATAATACCCAGACTAATTGTTCATTATTTCTTGATGATGTTTGGGGTATGTTTTATTTTTCGTCGAAAACCCCTGTAGGGGGACAGGCCCGCCTTCAGCCTTCCCCTCGTTCACAGGGGGCCCCTCAGAGGGCGGGGTGGCTTCTGAGGGGCCCCACCGCCTGCCGAGAAGGCCTTCTCCTTCTGTCTGGCGATCGCCAACATGGATTCGGGGGGAGTGGATCAGCGACGGGCCCCATCGCGGATTCCCGCCGCCGAACGAGGCGGCATCGACCGCATCTCGGGGAGGGGACCTCCCCCGATCCATGGGGTCTGGCGACCGTGCGCCAAATCCACGGATCGCTCATCCGTGCTTGCGCGCCCCCGACTCTGAGAAGGCCGTCTCCTTCCCCCGTCCCCCCCTCCCTCGCCGCCGACCCTCTGGCCGGCCCAGGGGCGGGGGCCATGTGGAGCCGACCCCCTCCCCTGCCTGGCCTCCGCTGTCCTGGGTCCTGGGAGCTGCTGCGTGGCCAGCGTGGTGGGCCGATCTTCCACCACCTCAGAAGTCGGAGAGGGAGGAGGAGGAGGAGGAGGAGGAGGAGGAGGAGGAGGAGGAGGACGAGGAGCCAGGCGGCCGAAGGCCCCCCATGAGTGTGCAGATCTGTGATCGTCCGCCAGGGCAGTGCGTTATCCTCCTGCTCACCCCTTCCTCCCCTCCTCCTCCTCCCCCTCCTCCTCCTCCTCCTCCACTTCCTCCTCCTCCTCCTCCTCCTCCTCCTCCTCTTCCTCCTCCTCCTCCTCTTTCCTCCTCCTCCTCTCACCCTTCCTCCCTCCTCCTCCCCTCCTCCTCTCCTCCTCCTCCTCCTCCTCTCCTCCTCCCTCTCCTCCTCCTATTCCTCCTCCTCCCCCGCCTCCCCTCCTCCCCCCTCCTCCTCCTCCCTCCTCCTCCTCTTCCTTCTCCTAGTCCTCCTTCTCACCCCCCCTCCTCCCCCTCCTCCCCTCCTCCTCGTCCTTCTCCTCCTCCCCTCCTCCTCCTCCTCCTCCTCCCCCTCCTCCTTATCCGCCTCCTCCTCCCCCTCCCCCTCCCTCCCTCCTCTCCTCTCCTCCTCCTCCTCCTCCTCCTCCTCCTCCTCTTCCTCCTCCGTCTCCTCCTCCTTTTCCTCCTCCTTTTCCATCTCCTCCTCCTCCCTCCTCCTCCAAACCTCTTCCTTATTATCAACTTCACCTCGTCACACGTCGAGGCTGGTGTTTAGGGCGGGCCGGGTGTTTCTCCCTGACACTTCCTCACCGCTCATGGCTCTGAAGCTTGAAAAATGGCAACAGTTTCACAGATGAAAGGCGGGTGGTTTTCAAGATGTGGCTCTCGCCTGAGCGCCGCGCACAGTTGTTTTTTACAATGCACGGGTTGCACGGATTGAAGTCGGGTGGTTTGCAAAATGTGGCTCTCGCTTCAGCGCCGCGCACATATGTTTTTTCCATAAAAAAACGGATTGAGGGCGGGTGGTTTTTAACATGTGGTTCTCGCCTTAGCGCCGCGCGCATTAGCTTTAACGATGTGCAAGAGCGTCACGGATTGAGGGCGGGTGGTTTCAAAATGCGGCTCTCGCCTTAGCGCCGCGCACAATCGCTTTAAACACTTGCAAGAGTTTCACGGATGCCCGTGATCAGCGTACCAGAAACGGTGTTTTGGAAGGATTCCGCATTGTGGGGTGCATCAGTTCTGTTGATGCGCGGTGTTGAATTTCCAACAATGGCGTTCTGGCGCGATTCCACATCGTCAAGACGCAGCAGTCAGGTTGATCCGTGGCGTGGACATCCCTAGAACAATGTTCTGGCATGCTTCAAGGCTTCAAACGTCTGTCTTCAAACGAGCCAGTTCCCTCAAAGGAGATGAAACGTTGTATGGGGCCTATGAAGAGGGAGCTTGGAGGGAGGGTTAATTCCAACATCGTTGATGACTCTTGGTTTTACACTGATCCTTCTCCTCCTCCTCCTCCTCCTCCTTCCCCTCCTTCTCCTCCTCCTCCTCCTTCTCCTCCTCCTCCCCGTTCCTCCTCCGAGGCATCCAGAGCCCCCCGATCTCTGGGACCGGGGCTCCCTCGCCCGGGCCTTGGAAGCACGATGCGGAGAATGGGGCGTCGCGTCGTTCACCCACACTTCCTCGCGATGTGAGCAAGCTCAGAGATCCAACGCACAAGCCGGTCGTTGAGAGTAGATATTTTTGGATGCCCAAATCCTGATCTACTTTAGGTGCCTTCCTACTTCAAGAGTCGAGCGGTTTTCCTTCTTTCCTCCTCTTCGCGGGTCGAGTGGAAGCCCAATCATGTTTCAACCCACTTCTTCCGACCGGCGTGTATTGAAAAATCATGACATATTTTTGTTTCGCAGCTTTCGGCCTCAAGAGGCCCGTACCAGGAATCCGGACTGTCAAAAACGACTCGGGATGAAAAGCCGGTCGTGGGGAATGGGTCGAGACTTCCGGGGACCCCGAATGGAAAAAATCATGACATCGGATCTCAGGGAGATCGCGGCGGGAGGTGCTTCGCTATGTGTTTCCAGGCTCCGGGGTCCCATCCCGGGCCTCGCGCCGTCGGAAAACGACTCGGGATGAAGAGCGGGTCCCGGGGAGAGGGTCCAGACCTCTGGGGGTGAACGTTGCGACAGCAAGCACGACGTCGGGGGTCTGGGACGGGGGAGCGATGAATGGGGGGGCAGTGGGGGCTGCCGAAGAGAAGGCCCCCTGGGACCTCCAGAGGGGCCTTGGGGGACCCAAGAGGGGGCCTCTCGGGCCCGAACAACATTGACCTTCCTTCCCACCCCGCAGTTGCATCGCCCCCCCCCACCACCCCGCGAAGCGACGCCCAGCAGAAACTTGACAGCCAAGCAATTCAGGGAGTCAGGATGGCAAGGTGTCCCACGATCACAGCTTCTGGGGGCCAGTTTTGTGCGGGCCCCAACCAAGAATATGCACCACCGCCACCACCTCCATCCCCCCTCCCTCCTCTACCCTCCTCCTCCCCTCCCCTCTCCTGGGGGGGGATGGGGTTAGGGAGGTGATGGTGTATACGTGTCGGCCCCGCATTTTGGAAGACGGCCCCCGCGGCGAGGAGCAAGCCCCCGGGGGACGCCCAGGGGGTCCGCCTCTTCGGGACTGTCGAGACGGCGGAAATCCGAGATCAGGTGGAGGAGATGGTGGAGGAGGAGGGAGAGGAGGAGGAGGGGGATGAGGAGGTGGAGGAGATGGAGGAGGGGGGAGGAGGAGGAGGAGGAGGTGGTGGAGGAGGAGGAGGTGGTGAAGAAGCAGGAGGAGGAGGAGGTGGAGGAAGAGAAGGCGACGGAGGAAGTCCGAGGTCAGGTGGAGGAGGTCGAGGAGGAGGTGGTGGAGGAGGAGAAAGAGGAGGAGGACGCTCGAACGAAGGAGGAGGGAGGAGGGGGCGGAGCTCTTTATCTCGCGTCCCCTCATCATCCCCACGTCCCTTCCC